AATCTGAATTCCACTTTGACTTAGAGAAGTAGTTGGTTACTATAATCACCAACTTGTTGTTCCTTCCATTATGCATGATTTCTGAATTTTTTGATTTTTGGCATTATTTTCTATATCGTATTATTTTCTTCTTCCTGCCTGTTGGCAAATAGTTTTTCTCCAACAGAAGTTGGAATGAAACACAGTGACTTAGGATGGCAAAAATGCAAACCATGGTAGAATGACTGGGGACTGGTTCTTTATATCTAAGGTTTAATTGGTATCTATAATTACTAATTACTCAATTTTCCATTATTCATGTGTGGCTTATCCCTGGTTAAATGCTTGAACCTTGGGTTTCTCGGTCACCAGTCTGCTCTGCAGGCATATTCTCATGCTCATGCTTACTCAGGGAAATCTAACTAATTTTAATACCGATCTAAGCACAAAACCTCATTAGGAAGGTATATCTTCTGCCAAAAGAGGGAATATAATGTATTCCAAAGGCAAATATAGAAGTTTTAAAATTATTTGCTGTTTTAGATGATTCTCTTCTCTTAACACAGATTAATATGAACCAAATGCAAAGTACTGGATCCTTTTAGGTTGAAACATATGAAACTGACATTTTTTGTAGCTCAGTAATGTATTAATAAATTATTGGAGTGTTTGTATGTCTCACCTAAATAATATAGGATACTTTCTATTTCTTGACTTTTCTCCTATTACCCTCAATTCTTGGTATAGATTTTCAGTGTTAAAATGCTTGTAAGTGGTCACCACAAAGACTGTCAATATGGTACTGTGTGAGTTGTAGTCATACAAAAGTACATGGAAGAGCCAAAATATTTCTTATTGTATGAGGCTCCCTGATTTTCTTCCCCCTAGTTCTTAATCAGAATGTCTTTTGTTTCTTTGCTGCTGGGTGAACACCTAGTCATCTTCTGAGGTGTAGCTCATATATAATCACGTCTACCCAGCTTTTCCCAGGATCCCCAAGAGATTCCCCTTTCCTTCAGGGCTCACCTGCTCCAGGTGGGTTTCTATCCAAGTCCCTATATCAGTATTACATTGTTTATTTACAAGCTTGTCTTCTCCAATGCACAGTACACTATAGGAGGGACAATCTTATTTATCTTGTTATTTCTAATGCAGTCCCTAGCACATAGGACATATTAAATTCGTGTCTGAGGAAGAAGAAAAAAGGGAGGGAGAGGGGAACAAGAAATAATTTTTATGAGATAATGGAAATCTTACAATTGTGTTATTTTCAATGAGATTTCAAAGTTTGGAGAACTGACAGTCAAGTTTCTTCCCGGCTTATTGAAGTAGGAAGAAAATTCATAATGCCTATGATTTCGTTCCTTTTCCTTATAAATCAAAGCAGGATTTAAGAAAATTAGTCATTTTCTGTAGGAGAGGGAGCCTCCTTGCCAGAGGAGACGTCTGCCCACTAGGAAGTAAAGGCCACTTGACATGAATCCATCTTGCTCACTAGAAGCCAACATTTAGTTTATGTCCACTGCTTCTATTCAACATAAAAGCTAAAGGGTGGAAGCAATAGGGCTGCTAAAAACAGCAGTAAAGGTAATGATTTTAGAACAGTAAGCCTCAAACTAAACCCAGAAGCAGGAAGTCAAGAAGAGCAGAAAGACACATCTGGGTAGACTACACTCCAAACAAAATGGCATCCTGTGATCTTAGATTTCTCCTCTGAATTTGCTATTTTTTCTATTGGAACATTTTGCCCCATATTTATATGACAGTACAAGAACTTCCTATAGAGGTAGCTAAATCAGAGAGGCTGCACTCTATTGTAGTTTGGGTCAGCAGCCTGATACATATCTTTGTGCACATTTGCCTCATTGTGGATACAGACGGTGTCTCTAGACTTGATCATTACAACAACTTTTCCCTTAAGCAATCGCTAATATAATACTGAAAATGCACATTACAGTTAGTTGTTCAACTCTCTCTAACATGAGTGTGAGCCCCTTGACTTCAGAGCTTTGCATTTACTCCAGCACCAAAGACAGTTCCCAGCAGGTAACGTGTATTCCATCAGTGTTTATTAAATTGAAGAGAACTATTGGTATGAAATTAATGGAAAGATTTCAAAGTTAGGCAAGGGGTGTTAATCTTCCTTCATGCATTTTCCTTCTCATTTTGAAAAGGTTGCTGATTGTGTTGTTATAGAGAAATCGAAATTATGAAAATTACATTTGAGGAAATCTACAGCGCTGTTGATTTTTGAGACTGAACTTTTTCAGCTAGCACACTAGATTAATTGTGAGATTTCCTCTTTTCAAGAAATAAGTTGATGATCTGAGGCAGACAAACTAAGCACAGTAAAATATAAGTACATGGAAACTTACTGAGTTTGTTCAGACCATACCATTATCCAAACTTGCTGGTGGGATGCCTTTAACAGCTTTAGAAGAAAAGATAAACTGTTAAATAAATATTGACTATGTGTTCTGATTCTCAAAGAAAACAAAATGGGTAATAGAACCTCAGGGTGTCATGATTTTGACAGATGTACTGGTTGGATAAAAACATCTAGTGTCACATACTTTGAGAGCATAAAAATTAAAAAGTGATTTCTGTTGATTTCTTATGGATGAGAGGACATAAAAAAAAAAGAAGAAAACCTTATTCTTCATCAAACACTTCTAGAGTCCTAAGGTTGGAAAAGAAAAGAGACATGAAATATTTGACTAAAATTAGTCATCTTTTAAGTTAGAGTGCTTTCTTTTTTTAAAAATCCACATTTTACTAATTGTTTAAGATATAATTTTGACCAAGCAGCTGATTTTATTATTTCCAAGCTATATTACACAGTGCCATATATAAAAAGCACATGGGTGCTGCATAGGTTATTAACTATCAATGATTTAGACCATTTGCTATTTTTTTTGTGTTCCAGTGTCAGTAAACCCAGTAAGTATGTGTTTTCTTATATTAAACAACATGTCCTTTGGTCTGCATCAACCTTGAGAGGAAGTAAATGAAACTGTTACCTATGTTATGCATGGTCAGTTATTTGTATAATTTGGACTTGTAAATTTAAAGCTTCCAGGGAAATATTTTTGGTACACCAACAATAGTAGGAAAATGCCACTATCATCTAGTGATAAAGCCTAGACCAGATGCTGAGGCTTGCTAGAGGTTTAAATGTCAAAATATTTAAGCATTTAAAAAGCCTGTCAGGTAAGGAACTTCAAAACTTGTCAAAACTGTACTGCTAATGGCTTATGTAATAAAGCACAAAGTGGAGGCAAGAAAGAATTAAGGATTTTACAACTGTTAAGAAGGATGTTTCTATTGGGACACAAGCAGCAGTTATAAAAAGCATCTATCACATAGCATACTATCTGACTATTTGACCAATTGCTATGTGACCATAGCTATCGCATAGCAATTGGTTAAATAGAATTTGCGCTTTGTCATGGACTAAGTGTTTCCTTTCTCCTACTAAATTCATAAGTTGAAATCCTACCCCTCAATGTGATGGTATTAAGAGGTGGGGCCCTTGGGAGGTAACTAGGTCCTGAGGGTGAAATACTTATGAATAGGATTAGTGCCCTTATAAAAGGGACCCCAGAGAGCTCTCCATCTGTCCTTCTGCCATGTGTGAATATAGGGAGAATACAAGGACCCACTAAAAGGTCTGCATCAGAGCCTGACCATGCTTGGTCCTTTGGATCTCAGACTTCTAACCTCCAGAACCATGAGAAACGAATTTCTATTGATTATACGCATCCAGTCTATGGTACTCTGTTAAAGCAGCCCAAACTGCCTAAAACACCTCTGATTTGAATATCAGACATCTAAGTTTTAATGTAATATGGTCAGGGTTAGTTCCTATTAACAAGGAGGCCATGAATGAATCCTGATAATGGGCAAAAATTATTCATACATGCGCTGGACATTTATCTTATACCTACTTCATGTTAAGTACTTTACAGTATTTATAAAGACACATGTCTTTTTGGACCAGACATATTGCAAATATGCCATCACTACCAGTTTGGCATATTGAAGTTACAAGTATTTAAACAACCCTGCCAAATCTCTAAAGAGAAGATTTTTAGGCAGCTAAGAACCTAGGAAAATGAACAACAGTCAGAGACTTAACTGGCTTACAAATAAATGGATATCTAAATTGAAGAAGAATGAGGAATGCATGGAAACTAGCCATAGATCTAAAGCCAGAGAACTAAAAGATCAAACCATTCTTCTCTAAAAGGAGAGAGAAAAAAAGAGTTGAAAGGTTACATAAAAAGAGAAAAATCATTCTTTATGGGTAGAGAAAGCAAAGAATGATAAGGAAAAATAAGTAGGTCCTAAATTATTTTCCCTGTTGTCAATAAAATATCTAAAGTAAATTTCCGATTGGTGTATATTACATAGACAAATATGCAAAGGTATATTGGGGAAAGCTGGTTTAATACACACATGTTAGTTTGGGAGAGTATATCAGATCCACCTAAAGTGCTTTTTGGAGAAAAATTCCTTCCCATTCCGTCCCCACTGGAGGAGGGAACAAGATCTGGAGGGGAAGGAGTTTTAATGTTGAAAAGTCTCCAATGATTCCGATTTACTCTAGAGTTTAGATCCACATGTTTAGTTAGTGATTTACTGCGCCTGCGAAAAGGTCAGAGCACATGTTTGAGAGAAAAACTCACTGCTGGAAGACTCTCCCACTCCTGTAGTGGGACATGTTATCTGACTGAAGAGGGTCCCCTTTTACATAGCAGACTTATTTGGGACTGCTTGTCTGCCTCATAGTCAAATGAAGCCTGGGAATGAAGGAGGGTACTGGAGAGGAAAGGAGATTAGTTCCAAGATTTTGACAGATAAAACATTTCCCCAGATTCAGAGCCAATATCACAAAGACCTTGGTATATTCCAGAAGGGAATTTCCCAATCTCTGCATAGATTTCTTTTTCTTTCTTTCTTTCTTTCTTTCTTTCTTTCTTTCTTTCTTTCTTTTTTTTTTTTCTAGAGATGGACCTAAAATGATCAGAGAAAGCTGAGAATGAGAGCTCAAAAAGGGTTTTCTTGGCTTGAGAAAAAAAAGGGCACGAAGGCAAGGAAAGGCCATCTGTATTTCAGGGTCCAGGCCAGGGGTCAATGAGAAGTGAGAAGGCCACTGTGGGTGCCATTTCTCAGGTCCTACTGCCAAAGGCTCCCATAGAAGGGACTGGGCTCTAAGGGCCTCAGAGGGAGGGTTCAACCATGAGGGCATCTGCATATTATCCATAGGTTTCAAACCTGCAGAAGCATGGCCAGAGACTGGGGGGAGGGCCAGGAATGGCCACTGTTTAAAATTCCCTTCTAGGAGTTTCACCCCTGCAGGTGACTTCTTTTGCAATGTCAGCACTTAAAGGACAGAGGTGGAAAGGAAGAAAGCATTGAAATCCCAGATGCCTGCACAGAGAGAGTCTAAGAGGGAGGACTCCTTGTGACCCCTTAGGTGTTGATGGGGTAGCCTGGGGTGCTTGGAATCCCTGTCTTCCTTTTGGCTACTCAGGGCCAGCGGGGGGGCCAGTTACAGGCTCAATTTGACAGCCTTCTCCCCCAAGCACCTTCTGCCAACAGCACCTTCAGTATTCACAGAAAAAGGACCCAGCTACTCTCAGCCCCCTGACTTCGCTGTGGGGAGCACAGTCGGTCATCAAGTGTTCACAACTGCCCATTTCTCACCTTCTGCTTTGCCTTGACCAGCCTTGAGTCAGGCTTCCTTCCTCCCTCCGGCCCTTGAAACTTTAGCTTGCCCCAAATCTGAGCAAGCTCTAAACTGAGGGACATCCACCATGCCAGTTTATTCCCAAATCCCTGGACCACAGGGATACATTTCTTGTCAAACCACGGGGGGTCCTGCCCTGGGTTTACTCCCCCCGCCCCCACCATCTGCCCCACTTTCCCTTATTGCTTACTTCCCTTTCTATGTAAGAAAACAAAAACACGCTGATTTGTGTTTGCTTCTGAGACCGCTTGCAGATTTCTGAGATTAGACCGTTTTCTTTGCAGTGAAAGTCTCTCCCTATTTTATTCAAGTCCGGATTTGTTTTTGTCTGATGTTAGCGTGGAGCTGAGAATGATCCCAGGTGAGTGTGCGCCCCTTCTGCGGAGGATGAAGCCTTTTGGGGGCCGGGGTATTTGTCTTTCACTTAGGGAAATGCCCAGCTCTCCTTTGAACTTCAACTTTCTGAAGGTGAATGAATTTCAGAAAGAGGAGTAAGTGCGAGTATTGCCCCAGGCAAACTAACTGCTGATTGAAAAACACCGTTGCGGTCCCTTCCCGGGGCGAGGGGTGGGTTTGGGAACCGCGGTTTTGGGGAGGGGACAGCGCGGAGGCGGGCGGGACGGGAGGGGGCAAAGTGGGAGGCACAGGAGGCGTTCCTAGAAACCGCACTTCAGAGGGCGAGCGGGAGTGGGGGGTCGGGTGGAGGGTGGTCTCGCAGCCACCCCGCCCCGAGGTCTGGAGAGGCGGCCGCGGCGGCCAGAGCAGCAGCAGCAGCAGCAGCAGCAGCAACGGCAAGAGCGAGCGGGACGGAGTTAGGACCGCTCGGAGCGCCCAGGTCTCGAGGTAGTATAAGGTTTGCAAGCCTTCCACTTGCTGGCAGTTGCAAAGATCTGCTTTTTAAGTGAAACGTACATGCCACCCCTGCGAGGGCTGCGGCTTCCCCCGGCTGGCTGCTTCGCTTCTCCCGCGGCCGGCCCTGGCGCTCACTCTCTAATTCGCACTCGCCCCTAAGTTTGCCGAGAGCTCGCGGCCCACTCGGGCAGGGTCCCGGGCAGCGCCGCGGGCGGGGGCGGGGAGCCGGGCAGCCGCAATCCGGGAGCGCCGCGGGCCATGTATATTTCATCGAGCGGACTTCGGGTGCGTGGCGACTCGCAGCCATCAGCGCTATGTGCGGTGACATTTCTGACTTGAGTGGTGGAATGCGCGAAGGAAGCCCGGGCGAGATTGGTGCTGGAGGATCTTCTTGGCGCCAATGCTAATTGTCCTGATTTATGCCCCTTCTGACTAAGCTCAACGTCTTCATCCGAAATAAAATGAAAGCGGCGCCCAGCAGGATAGAACCGCCTGGCCGCTGGTTCTGATCCCCGGGAATCAGAGAATCGTCCTGCGGCTTAAAAAAAAAAAAAGGAAAAAAAAGAAAAAAAAAAACGGAAGAAAGAAAGAAAAAGGAAAAAAAAAAAAGAGAGAACAGAAATAGAAAACAGGAAACAATCGCTCAGTAAAAGTTTAAGGCGAGAAGTGGAAGCGGCCGCGGCGCGAGGAGGCGCGGGAGGGCCGGCGGGCCGGGGACTGGCAGGCGCGACCTCCGAGGGCTGCGAGCGCATTATTAGCATCACTGTATTTTTGGAGGGAGAGGCACCTTTCTCATCCTCTCTTCCTCTCCGCCCACCCCTCCTCCCTCCCCCTCATCTACCTGTCAAAGTCACTGATCTTTTGCATTTCGGAAGAGGACGTCAACGGGAGGAATTCCCCTCTCGGTGCCGGCTCCGAGAGGGGGCGACGTGCCCGAGGCGCCCCCCGGGGGGCGAGGCGAAGGTAACGCGGCGGCGGGGGGTGGCGCGCGGGTGCGGGGCGCTGGGTCCGCAGGGTCCTCTCCGGCAGCCGGCCGGGCGCGATCGGGACCCCGGGGCTGCGGCGGCGGCTGGAGTCCACACCCCCACCCCTCCCGCGCCGCCCGCGCCCGGGAGGAGGCTCCGCGGGAGCAGCCGCCGCCAAGCCCGTGCGCCGCCCGCGGGCTCCGCTGCTGCGGCCGCCGCCCGAGGCGGACCAGGCTGGGCAGGGCCGCCGCCCCGCGCCGTCGGCTCGGCTCCCGCCCCGCGCCAGGGCGGACGGGCCACCCGGTAAGTGCAGCCGGCGTCCCTCTCCTTCCTTCCGCGACCCGCGCCGCTCGGCTTTGCCCCTCTTCCCGGGGCTCCCTCCCTCCCCCCGCACCCCCGCCCCCCGGTGCAATCCACAGGCGGGAGGGAAGGCTCCGGGTGGGCGAGGAACTTTGCAAAGCGCCCCGAGGAGGCAGCGCGCGGAGCCCCTGCGCGCACACACGCCCGCACACTCTCGCACCCACGCGCGAGCCTGCCCGGGTGCGCCCCGAGCGGGTCGCGCGTCCGCCTGTTGTGCCCCGAGCCCGGGCGCCGGGTCGGTGCCTCCATCCACCGACTGGCGAGCACGCCGCGCTCTCCCTCTCGCACACCTGACCACACGCAACGCGCGGGAGGGTTATCATTTTATTTTATTTTGCCAATTGTCTTTGCTTGGGGTAGGGGGGCTGGATGTGGAGCGCTTGCCCTGTTGCTGTGGCCCTGTAGAGCTAGTTGCCACACCGAGAGCTTTGTGGTGCCCTTCTTTTAATCTCCTTTATTGGTGTGAGATTAGAGCATTGCTATCCCATGTTGTGCAGCTAGGGAGAAAGGAAAATTGCAAGAGGGAAAGACTTGGTGTAGGCATGGTGTTTGGTATATTTTCTCAGATCCTTTACTGGCATCTCATTAATCTGTTAATGGATTCGGCTGGGGACATTGAATTGCTCTCCTGTATGGTTCTGTGGATATCTATATATAATACAAATAATACTGAATATTATTGGGCCTAAAATAACCAATTAAGTGATTCATACAAGGGAAAACTTAGATTAAAAAAAGAAACTGCGCCCTCTGCTGTTTATTTTAGTAACCTCAGTCGGGGACCTTTTTTTTTTTTTTTTTCCAGAAATCCACTTAAGAGTAGGTTGTCGTCTTACAGGGCAAGGGAGGAAAATTCCTAGCGGGGATTTTAAAGCAACTTTATTTGGAAAAGTTGCAAGTTGGTTTCCTGTCTCTGCGTCAGGTATATATTTCCAGTGAGTAGGGGGTGCCCCCATTCCTCCTCCATTGTCCTAAACACGGGGAATAATAGAGCCACTCCTTATAACAAATTGTCAATCTTTGGGAATGGAAAATTCTGAGTAAGATTCAGAATTCCACTAAACATATGGTGAATCTGGCAGTAGATTTGCTCTAGAAATAAGGCCCTGTTTTATGACTGAAAATACTGAAAGTTTTTTTATCTTACAGAATGCAAAAAAAATACCCAGTGAGATCTTACAATAGAAATCATTTATTCAAATATGCTTAGTGGTTATGCTTGTTGGAAAGTTTTTCAAAAATCCTCTTTTTGGGGGGAAGTCGTTCTGATTGGTTTGGCCCTTGAGGAGCATCTCAAAGCTGTGAGAGAATCAGCAGCCCCACATTTCATTAAGTATTTTGAACTGTGTCACTTTGAATGCCTTACCCTTTCTCTTTGGCAAAGGAAAAGCAGCTCAGTAGCTGTCCAAGATTCTTTCTGAAGATAAGCAACTTTCGGTTTTTCATTAAGATAAAATTTGGATCTCTGCATGTGTATCAGCATGCCAAGAAAAAAAATGCATCAAGTATTTCACACGTAATGTTGTTCCAGCTTACATACGTAAGGGATATATTTACTTTTCTTTCCTGGATGCCATGAAATGAGATATATTTCACCGCTAAAGACCAACATGAGGACATTCAGGATTCTATGTATTGGGCTATTCACTTGATGATATTTCCTGTTGTGAAATTTAAGAGGGATAATCTTAAAAATTGTGTAAGGAAACAGTTGATTTGGACATAAAGCTGTTTTCCTATTAAGATTTTTGTTTTGTCAGCTGTCACTGGGCATGTATGTTAAAATGATTCAGGTTAGCTTTTTATAGGAGGAGGCCAAGGTATTTTGCAGTTTCCTTTGTATATTTGCAATTGGTGCAAATACCTGTCTTTGCTTTTATTATTATTCTGAAAAACATCAGGTAATGTGTTAAAAAAGTTAAGCCATTACCCATTTAGTTGATAGGTTTCTTAAATGTTGCAAAAATTTGGAGAGAGTTTTAGAGTTACAAAAGCACCAAGTCTCTTGGAAAGAAGTAAAATTTCATTCAACTTAGAAAATCAATTGTATATTAACATTGAAAAATATATCTGTGTATGAACTATGTTGTATAATATTAGGGATTATATTGGTCAGTAAGGTCTTAGGTTAGTAAGAGGTTTAGCATACCTTTAAAAACAATTTTATTTTCAGAATCCAAAGTTTTGTTTTAAAACTTCAGGTGGGTGTAGATTTTCTCATTTCTGTATTTGAGATTTTGGATCTCTGAGCTTCCCTGTATGAGAATGAAATATTTGTTGCTCATATGGTAATTAAACACCAGATTTCTTCCAGGCTTAACTGATTCTGAAATAATTTTTATGTATTATCCCATCCACAAACATCCTATAAAATATGTGCTATCTAATATGTCTAATCTGTCTTCTCCCAGTGACAATAGAAATCTTTCAAATACTAAGGTGTGTTATTTGGTTTTATTAAACATTTCATGATAGGCTGTTGCTCATTATACCCAATCAAGAATGAGTAAGCTATGCCAATGATGTTGCAGTACATCTTAAATTTCTTGTATTTTGAGAGACAGTTAACAAAAGGATAGAAGCATATGTTTCCCACTAAGATGACTAGAAAGTGCTTTCTTCACAACAAATAAGTGCAAAGAGCATTGAATACGTGTTAAAATATCTTATGTCATAAATTTCATTATGACTGTGTTAGAAGCTGCTGATTTTGGTAGGTTATAGAATTTTTATACCTTTATCTCTTTATATTTTTTACTCAATGATATATGATTATAGTCAATTTTCCTTTTGTTCTTTCCCATTCAGAAACATGCATATTTATAAAATTCTTCATGTCTATGATGAATGAGTCAATAGCTGTCTATTTCAGGTGCCCCTGAAGAGCCGAATATTTATGAAATAAATAGCCCACTCCCACCACTCCCACCTCCTAGTGAGATTGTATAATAAAATGAATACTGAAAGCCAACTAGATTAGGAGATTTACTGGCAGCATTTTCCTCTCAGTTGTTGAGATTGGCGATTGTTTTTGGAATATAATTGTCTGTAATTTTAATCACTATTACTTCCATGTAGTATTTTGAGAGGCTTTTTTTTTTTTTTTTGGAGTAGAAAAGGGCCTGTGAACTGCCTTCTGCAAAGTTAATCCAAAGTGGAAGAGAATTAGCTACAGAATCCTGGAAAATATACATGTTCTATGTATGCAAAGCCATTTTATAGCCCATTTTAGTCCTGATCAATAATACCTGTCCACTTGAGGGCCATGACATAATTTTATCTTTTTTCCTTGGCTCCATAAATTTATATACCAGAGGTCTATGGAGTACCCACAGCATGTTAATAGGTATTTTTATCAAAGAGGACTTCTCAGTACTTTCGTTTTCAGGTAGAGGTGATGGCATTATTTGATTACAGTGAGTTCCCAAGGTTTACTAAGTAAAGAACTAGAGCTGGGGCAGCCCAGAGCTCTTCCAAAGCTGCTCTTATTTAGGTGACATGGACGCCTGAGACAAATTCAAAGGCCACATTGCTTGGCAATTAGTTTAGTTATGGGCTGGAAGGGATACATTTAGTATATTAAGTCCCCAAATATGTCATTGACTGCCCTTCTCCTAATCAGTTTGCCTAGCTATTTGCTGTGATGACGTAACTTCTAAGAAGCTATTGATAATTTTAACCTGGTTGAAAGCTTAGCCAGATGGGAACCCGTGCCATTAGGTAATGAGGTTAAGGTGTAAATAATATTTTTCCATCATTTTATTTTCTTTGAAAACTCTATCATCAGACTTTCAAAGCAAATTCCTAATTTTCACAGAGGCTTCTTTTCTATTGTGTGTCGTGGAAGTTCATAGATTTAATTTCTTATTAATTTGAAGTTAAGAGGATTTTCTTTGAAGTGTATGTGGCACTGACAAGTAAGGAGACCCTGAAATGAAGGGTAGGAATGCAGTGATGGTACAAACATAAAAAATGAGAATGAAATCAAATAATTATGTTAAAGAGCAGCTTCGTGTCCCCCTTCTCCTGATCTGGAATATGCTGTGGTCAATATCTTTTTCTGTGTCAATGGGAGCTCATTAAACGTAAATTCTGCAGACTAACTGAGCCATGCCATATTAGTGCTTGCCAAAGCTTGACATTTTTAATACATTAATAATATGTCTGTAATGTAATGGAAAACTATTAATCACAACTGGTTATGTGCCAGAAATTTAAGCTATAATTGGCTGCTTCTTGTCAAGAATGTCTGTTGCACAGTCCTGCAACTGCCTAATATTCAAATATCTTGCACTCCTCTGCATTTTTCCCTGTCACCTCTCTAAATTCGATCAATGGTGTGGTCCATAATTCTGTGTAATGACCATCATTATAATTCTGGTATACTTTAATGAGAATTCGTTATAATGGGATTGCTGTTGTGTCAGGAGATGGTAACGGGTTCACACACATTCCCCTATTATCCAAATTTTTCACATACAAATGTGTATAGTCACCCTTTATTTTGTGGTTACAGTAAGGCAACATGTGAATGAGGGCAGTGGACCCAGGAATAAATGGATAAGGAAAATATCATTTATTGGTTTTAGAAAAGTGAAGACTGATCTCAGGAAGCATTCAAATAGATACTTACAGTCATATTTTAAAAATAATATTAAGAATTAATGCATAATGCTCACTCAGTTCAAATTCAAAGCAGTCCATTCTAAGCCTGCAAGATTATATCATTCTTGATACACTGCTGTGTATATGAAACTAAAAATAAAAATTAATAATTTCTGATCTAGTAGATTTCACACTGCTACAGTTGTAATGCCCACTTCCCCCCTCACTCTGGAAAGTGCTTATTTCTTCTTATAATAAAGTAGTAAACAGTTGAAACATGCATCTAGGAAATGTAGATTTGTATCATTTTAACACCTTTTCAGATTATTGCTTGTCAAATTGTTGGATGTTTCTGAAAATATCAACTTAAAATTACTAATGAATCTGAAAAAAGCAGAAGGCTGTAGTAGCCACAACACATGCTTCTCTGTGATTTTTTTCTTTTTAGCTTAAGATTCCAAAATGCGCTTAACACAGTACAGTCTTTAGGCTACAAGGAAAAGGCAGATTCAAATCTGTAGTTTATCCATGTTTAGACAAACTGCTAATTATTGCTTCATAGGAACTCAAATATTCAACACTTTTCCTAATAGAAAATATCACAAATTGCAGCTGTATGATAACATTTTATGAATTGAATATAATGAAAATTGCACTTGCATCCATAAAGCAATTATTATAAATTACTTTGCTATGGAAACACAATTCAACCATCTGTTGGCATTTCATAGTCTCTGTGGCTTAGTTCATTTTAAGATGGTACATTATTTAAATATAATGAATTCCCTTCATAAGACTGTTTGAAGATAGTGAACTTCCATATTTCAAGTGTTTAATGTGAATTGAAGGGTCTATAATGGAATTTTCCAAGACTATGGACTTTTTTGTCCCTTTTGAATTGTTTAAAAATAGTTAATTTTTGGACTATGAATATGAATGAACTAATTAAGCAAATGCACTTTTTTAACTCCTATTTTCCAAATACTAGTGTTTGTTTAGTTTGTTTAGATTTGGACAATGCTCTCTAAAGAGAAAAGTTGCCAGTTAAACTTACTAGTGACTTGTACCCATAGTTATGTAGGCTGCTTTATCAGTTAACCAAAAGTACTTTTAAACAGTAATTTTTATTTTCTCTTAGAATTAGTGCCATGCTATTCTGCTTCATGGCCTGTTAACTCACCCTCAGCTATTTTTATATGTGCATTTTAAATTGTGCGTTTTACTACAGAGTTTTTAGTTTTAAAGCAGCATATAATATTCGCCTTTGGGACAAATTCTCTTCTGTTACAGAAAGTAACAACAAATGCAGATGTAATGGCTATAAAAAGATGTAAGAAAATAGAAAATTCTTATGAAAGGAAAATTTGCTCATTTGGATTTATTTTTGAGTATTTTTTTCAGAGAGCCAAGTTATCTTTATCACTAAATGCTACTAAACAAAAGATGCTAAATTCTTCCAATATAATGAGCAAATCCACAGGGACAGGCTCACGCAAACAATGCTGGTTTTCACTCCAGCTAACAAAAGCTAAGAAATATACAAGGAATTTGGAGATTTTTAGGGTCTCATTGCCAAGAGACAAAAGCCATACAAGTGGTTGTCATTCCTCTGTCATTGTTATAAAAGCACTCATTTCCCCTATTGTTATCTTGGAAGATTTTCTAGCACTGCAATATATGAGAAATGTTTAAATCTAGCTGCTTGCTCTCAGTTTTGTCAAGATGGAAATATGATTTTTGAAGCGAAAATCTGTAACTCACCTGGAACATACGCATCTATCTTTGTTATGGAAGAGTTAAAACCTTCATATCGAAATTCTCCCCAACGTGAATGATTTCTGTAGTTTGCTCATTCTAGCAAAGCAGCTGAGTAAAGGTTATCCATATTACACCAATTTGCTTTATATTGCATCAAACCTGCAAAATGTCAACATATCATACATTTCGTAATACATTGATTCTGGGACAATAACTCTTACTCTTATTGTTTCTAAAAGGGTGTTGGTGCCAGAAGAAAAGAATGATTGATGGGAAACAGACACCGGGCTACAGACACTCATCCTTTTGCTTCAGATACTGATATCTCAGCGTGCCTGAGCAGCCCCCGTGAGCCGAGCACATTGAGGATCACTCAGGGTTATCGGATGTACAACGGGAGAGCCATCACTTTGCTAAATTATTCTCTGCAACTGGACGTCTTTTTACAAAAACCAAACTACACCCGAGTCTACTGAATAGAGATATGTTCTAGGACAAAGAAAGAGCTGCAAGTAGTTGTTACCGCCTAACACCCAAGTATGTTAGGCTTCCACCAAAGTCCTCAATATACCTGAACACGCACAATATTCTAACCCTTCCCATTTGGTTTTGGAATTTGCTTTGAGGTCCCATCCTCTTTTTGTTTTTAATATACAGACCTACCTACATATAGACATATAAATATATATATATATATATGTATCTGTAAAATACAAACAGATCACAGAGCAAACTGCTTTAGTTTCCTCAAAGATTATAAAGAATTTAGAGATGTATTTGTCAAGATTCCTCTCGATTCATGCCCTCTGGGTTACAGTGTCCTCAGTGATGCAGCCCTACCCTCTGGTGTGGGGACATTATGATGTGTGTAAGACTCAGATTTACACAGAAGAAGGGAAAGTTTGGGATTACATGGCCTGTCAGCCAGAGTCCACGGACATGACAAAATATCTGAAAGTGAAACTGGATCCTCCGGATATTACCTGTGGAGACCCTCCTGAGACGTTCTGTGCAATGGTGAGGCAACCTTTTTGAATAGAATATTTCATATAAACGGGATCTAATTGCATATGCATACAAATGTGGTAAGGCTTAATTTATGCAATGAGCTGAATCTGCAGGTGGCAGATTTGTGTTAACAGGCTAGCTGCATTCTCAGTGGAGGCTTGCACTACCTGGAGTTACAATTTGCACTCTTGATTGATGCACTGGAACTCACCTTCTGCTTCCTTGTAACTTAAAAGTTCCACTGAGGCAGATGCACTACATATATTATAAAAGAAAAAGTCCATTTGAAGGTTAAATTTCAGAGTGGAGGAGGCTGGGAATCTGATTAGGGCATATCTGTTACGTTAAGGATAAAATCGGTTGGCAAACCAATTTAAAAACACAGGTTTCTTAAAATTCATGTATAAGGCCCGTCCCAAATTCCATAGTTCAAGGCTAGATTAGATTTCATGATTTTCTTTATCAGGAAGCCACAATGATTTGGAAGTCCTGGTTAAGAGACGAGTTAGAAGAAAAGCAGAGGAGAGAGGGACTAAAAGCCTTGTGAGAACTTTTGCAAGAAAAGTCTTATTTGCCTACTCACGCAACCCTTTATTTCTAGGGTCTCAGTTTTCTACGGGTAAAGGTGACCATTGGAACATTGAAAATATATTTGCTGAAAAGTAATGAGTTGGGACATACAAATTCAGATACTATTCTTTTGACAAGCAGAGTTACAGAATTTAATGTTCTCATGGTGTATATAAATCTTTTTCTGGTGGAAAGTTAAATACTATGTGAAAAGGTAACATTGGAGTGACACATTGAATTTTCATGAAGGACATAGCTGACAATATACCTATAAAGTATTGGTAAAGAGATTGGTGATTAAAATGTATAAATTAATGTGCTAAAAAATTCAGACAGTGAGTTTAGTTGGTTTATTTTATTTTATTTTATTTTTTATTGTGGGTGGTCTTTATTTGATACAAGTACTGTGACCTCATTTTTCTCCACATAACAGATATAATTGTATGGCAGAATTTAATAGTATTCTTACCTGACTTTATTATCTTGAACCTGGCCTGGCATTTTCAGGATAGTGAAACTATTAATCAAAGGAGCATCTGTTCACAGTCCCCAGTGAGTTAAATTAGCATAAGATCATCTTAGACCTAGCACTATAGAAAGAGTTTTGTACCTGGAAACAATTTTGAGCAATAAAGAGTGTTTTCACCTAAAAGCTAAGGGCTTGCCATTTTTCAGAAGTGCCTTTGGGGACTGGTTTGAATTATAGTCTAAACCTGATTTTGTGGAGAGTGAGAAAAAGAGCTTGGCTATTAGGTGTCACTATGACTAAAGTGCCCTGAAAGACTAAATATTTCAAAGAGAGGACCCGTCTCTCTGGGAAACAGGTATGTGCTTTGCAAAGATGTTGCGTTTTAGAAACCAGAGATAAGGACTTTATTCAAACATTAGCGAAACTATAATATATATGTAGAGGAGAAGAGGTATTCGTTCGCTTTATATAAGGTTTTTAATAATTTCTCAGAAAAGGTCAAATTTAAGATCTCATTGCAAATCTGGGCTGAAATTGCTGTTTGGGTGATAGGTTGTGCAATCTTCCACTCCTTATAGCAGAGTCCTGGGCCAACTTTTCATATTAAGAACCACTCCAGCTCTATGTATTACTTTATATGACATTTGTAACAATATGCCTCTTCTGGAGTTGTTTAATAATTTAAAGATCTTAGTAAAATAGCAAATACCTTTCTCACAATGCTTTTTCCCCTCTCATAGTCCCTGTACAATGTGTTCAAGGCGTGATTTGTATGTGCACCTTCCCTGATCTCAGCCTCTGGCCAGACAATGCTTGTTCAGCACTGTTTCTGTCTGTCATTTTGAAGGTTTACTTGGTGTCTTCAGCATGCCCCTTTCTCTCATCCACAAGTGGAAAGGGCATATTACAGAACTTCCCATGCCTGCCTTTCAAAAGGATGTGGTCTAAAGTCCATAAGTCCATCCCTACCAGTCCGCTGGCTAAATGATGTCAGAGATCAAATGGGAAAAAATAATTAAAATCATATCCCTCACCTTTCTCAAGACATGTATAACGTGTATACTTTACAAGTTCACATGAAACTCCACAGGGCAGTCTTTTAAAAGGCTGCATCTTAGTATGATGCAGACATTCAGAAGCCTTGGTGGATTTAAACTTGTCACTGAGTACAATGGTTTTCCAAGGGAGGTGTTAAGGTTTGTGAGATGTTACCTATCAATGCTTAATTTGTATTCCTTAATATGCATATGATTAGTATAACAGATTTAATAATCTATGCTTTAAATGTACACTTTGGGACTATTTATATGCATATCATATGCCAAGTCAATGATAATGGCCTAATATAGCAACACTTCCTCTCTGCACTTTTGGATTTTCCATAAAACTCTTTAGCGTAAGGGTTCCTGACACAAGGCTATAAAACTGTCTCAGGATGCTGTCATATCAGAACTGTTTAGGTGCTCCTTAGCCCAAGGTCTAATGGGGATCCATAAAGTCATTTGTGTTATGACTTACGTGTTCTTCCCTCCTTGACACTTGCATCCATACCTGCTCCCCCAGAGTCGTTATGGCCTATTACATCAGGGTAGCTGCCACATAAGCACAGCCACTACTTAGCCCTTATATGTAAATGTTTGCTGCAAAACGGTTTCAGTAATCACTTGTTCAGCTAGCGACACCTTTATTAGCTGTGACTATGGAGTTCTGAGCACCAAGGGGACATTGGTGAGAGAAATACCCTACAATTTCCATAGCCAATTTCTTTAATATAAAGTTGAAGTTCAATGGCATTGCATTAAGAGTCTGCTTTGCTGCTTTTTGCGTTTGCTTTAGCATTATATGCCAGTGACTATCCATGAATGTTGCATTTATTTTAATATAAAATGAAATTTTAGGGCAAAAAAAGGAGCACATGATTCCATTTAACAATAGATCTCTGCTTATTAACACTGATGACATAATTAATAAATCTTCAGTGTAATTTTAAATTGTTCTATATTTATTGTATCCATATTTATAAACATTGGTTTTTCCATACACATGCATATGTATGTATGTATGAGTTGTGTATATTGAAAACCATACATTTTCTTTTTAACTTAATATATTCTTTTAAAGTTTGTAGTGGCTTAAAAAAGATCTTTGTTTTTGTAAAGGGGTAGAGGATGGTTAACATCACATATTTGTATAGATCCTCTCCTTTCAGCCACATTAAGAGCTTCAGGTAGCATAGTTTTGTCAGGAAACACAGATCATCTAGTGACTACAATTTGTTTCAATTTGCATAAAGAGCAGATAGGATGATCTGAACCTGCGTGTAAAGCTGTAGTGACAACACAAAGCTATGACTTGTTCTTTGTGTTTAGACAAACTTAGCTGTCATATCTCCACGTAACACCCCAGTGGCTTAAAAATGGCAAAATTATCTGCAATTATCTCTAGTCTGCAGCTCATTTTCTGGATAAGCTAAACAGAAGCTTTGAAAAGAAGCCTACAGATGGAAGAAGTCATGTGTGTTTGTACAATTTATGGCACAGAAGTGCTGATGACTGTAGAAATGGAAGCCCTTGAGTGCTGCTATGGATTTCAGAGCCAATCAAAACTAAATTAGAAAACAAAGATTATTAAAAAGGCTTCCGTGCATGTAATTTTGGCATAATATTATGAGGTGGACATTAAATGTTTCCCTTGGAGACTTTCAGCATCATTAATGCAGCATGCCTTTAATTACAAGTAGACTCATATTACTAAAAAATTGGAGAAAATAAAGTACTCTGAGGTATAGTTAGTAATACCTTCATTATGTTTACTGAAATAATTAAAAGAAAGGGTGTAATTTTTCTAAATAAAATGTCAGAATTTGAAATGAAAATGGATTTTCTTTGGGAAATTTACTAATGTGTGCCTGCGCTCTCAATAGGCATTTATTCAAGTACCTTAACAGGTCTACTAATGATCATTCCATATTGTGCCATTTCTAGATAGGCTCCTATTAAGAAAAGAACTTTAATTATTATAAGCATTGTGGATAGAGCATATTTCATCATGTTCAAATGTAATTTACAAAAATAGTAGAAAGCCACCTTGTTTTCTGATTTCAAAGGAACCCCATGGGATGAGTGAGTGGTGATGCATAGTCTCAGGGCTATCCATAGCTTAAATTTCTGATTTGACATCAGATCAGGTTGCCATCTGGTGGCTATCAGGTGGCTTTTGAGAAATTAATTTAATAAACTCAGTTACATTTTCAATGACATGGAATTAATAACAATTTTCCAAAAACTGGAAATGACGTTGACTTATATAATGATCAACTAATCTTAAAAATACACTCTGTTCATGTGAAACAAAATTCAATAAATAAATGAAGTTTTAATAACATCTTTCATTTGAACTGATTTATCCCTTAATTATGCCAGAATAGAATTTTTTTTTAAAAAATAACTTCAGTTCTTTCATTAACACTTCATTGTTATTAGTTCATTATTTAGATGTATTTCTTAGAAAAGTTTAAGTCATATTTGTAATAAATTCAATTCTAAGAAATCAGTTTTTCTGATTATGTCACTATATCAAGTATTTCTTTGTTGAGGAACCTACAATATTTCCTCATTATCTATTGCATCAAGTCTAAAGTATTTTACCTGCTTTTTCAATTTGGGTGCATGCAATCTTATTTCCCAATACTTCCTATCAGGACCCTATGGCATCTCCAGGCTATTTAAGGGTGGCAGTCTGATTGGAAGGGCACTACTGGATTTGAGTTGAAGCTTCATTGGCACAAAATGCATGGCTTATGGGGGAGGCCTTTGGAAGGAGCTGATAAAGATTATGGCAGAGCTAACACAACCTAAAACCTAAGCAAAATTAATACAAAGTAGTGTGCATCCAGGGAGTGGAAGAAGAGAGAAGTAAGACTAGCACTTAGAATTTAAAGGTAAAACATTATTTTGCAGCATGTCAAAGG